CAGAGATCCACAGCACTAACCAGAGAGGACAATTTTGTTCTTAATCCTGCTCTGCCTGTTACCGAGGATGCCCTCATCTCACTGACACATGTGCCAACAACATATGCAGTGAATAAATTACATTTTAATACTTCTCTAGGATATATATTTAAAAGATCAGTTAAGCCTCATTGATGTAAGGTAATTTAAACATTTATTTTCACACGAGTTCTTGTGATGCGAGTTTAGTTCAGTTTTGCATAAGCCCACATAACATATATTTTAAATACAGCTGACTGAGTACTATATATAAAACTATATGGAAAATGTGTGTTACTTCCATAGCCAGATGGTTTTGTCGATTCTAGCCCAACTAAACATTGCAAACAGGGGGCTCGGCAGTGGGACATGGATCCGCACTATGCTGCCCTCAGATTTTATGACTGTAGGAAAGTAGTCCATAAAGTTTTGTTCCATAAACTAAAAACAGGAATTAATAGCTTTGATCTGAAACATCCACAGCCTAGTTAACATCTGAGGGCGATATAGGCCAAGAAGAGACCCAGAGTTCTTCGTTTCTTACAAACTAAGGCTGTTCTTATAGTGTGGCTAACCTCCAATCTTGTCTTAAAAAATTCCTAAAGAAGGTCCTAGTTTAAATTGAAAAGGTCCATTTGTCTGAACCTCCCAATAATTTATAAAGCACCTTTGTTCCTTTTTTCCTCTTCTACTAAGCTGTAAATTGGCAAAGATACACAATATTTTCCATGTATTTTGCATTTCAACCAAATATCTCAAGCAAGCATGCACATTCTCTTTTTACTGATGGGAACACAGAAGCAGAGAGCAGGTTAGTAAGGTACCCGAGGTCACACAACCAATACACAAAACACAAAAAACAATGGCAGAGTCGGGAGTAGATTCTCAATGAAGAATCGATCCCTGCACCAGCACTGAGACCATTGCAGAAATCATGGGGACGTGGCTCACACTCTCCCAATCCTGAGGCTGCTGGAGGCTGGTTCAGGCTCAGGCACAGATCAGCACTGCCAAGTTGTGCCTTGGCTATAAGGCCGACGTGCTGTAATGTGGTTGAGGAACAGCTGGGACACAGACGTGCCCTAGCCAAACCCTCTCACTCACACCTCCAGAACAATCCCTGTACTGGAAGTATTTTCCTAGAGGGGTGAGACCACTTTTCACCAGTCTAACCAATCCAAATTGTCCACAGGGCAATTGGAGCCTGCATTCTAACCACTACAGTATACTGCCTCTGTATTTAGTATACAAAGTTGTACTTCTGTCAAAAGATGAAATTAACATTTTGCCAGATCAGCCACCATCATAAGTCTCAGTAAGGATCTGAACTGAAGCTATATGAAAACAAGTGTTTAATTACTTTGATACCTTTTAAGGCCCCAATCCTCCAAGCTGTTCTAGATGTGACCAGTGCACATGATGGTAATAGTACTTTTGTGTGTCTAGTATATTCAAAAGGACACTCCCACACAGCTTTTCCTTTTATAGAGGTAACTACATGTGTTGTACTTTTTGGAAGTATTAGAGTATTACAGAAGACATACTTAGCACTGGTACAGGAGATGACTGTTAGATGCCAGCAGAACCAAAGTGAAACAGGGGAATGAAACCTTCTATCCCCAGTCCTGCAGAGACAGAGAATCAGTAGCTAGAGACAAGAGAGCAAGAAGTTACGTAATCTGTTTTTAAATGTATACTTTGAATTCATTAATCCAAGGGTTCTCAAACTTCATTGCACCATGACCCCCTTCTGACAACAAAAATTACTACACAGCCCCAAGTTTTGAAATGTCAGAATTTCTCACTAAAGGGAATTTCCTAGTTTCAACCAGACCTACTCTGAGGAACATAAGAGGAGAGCTTTTCCGCAATGATTAATCCAAGGACCCACTGCTGATTTTTTTCACACCAGTTTAAATCCAGAGTAACTCTACTGAGCCCTAATACCAGTTTAAAACCCTTGTAAGTGAGAGAAGAGTCAGGCCCTTACCAACAAAGGAACCTTTTCAAATAAAAGAAACTTTGCAGGCCAGCATAATCAGGTTTTGAAATCCTTTGTGAAATACAAAATGGTAAACAGTGTCAAGTCTTCTTGCTAGTAATAACCACTTTGGACTGTGAGTCATGGGCAACCTGTATCAAAATACGATCTCCTTCATTGAGTTCCAATGATTTATTTAGGAAATTCCCGGAGTGACAGAAGCTACAAATTGTGATAAACAGAAGCATGTCATAATATTTAGTAAATAACAATGCAAGCCACAGCAGGTATGTAGAGAGGGTTAGGTGAAAAACACAGTCATTGGCTGGGTAGGAAATTATTGACATTTTAGAGCCAGGGAACCGTGGAGAAGTGGTGAATTTCCAGGACTTCCTCCTCCCCCTCATAACTCATTGAAGAATGACATAAGCTCTGCTTGAAAGGTGGAAATCGAAATGCAGTGATCTAATGTAATTACTGGAACGAAATTATAATGGCCCCACCTTTCACCAAGGTCACTGAGAAAAGTGGTTTGCTAAGCACTCTGAACTTCCAGAATTGACCCAAGCAGCCACTCCTCACTGGACTACAGCCCTCTTCCTGCCTGCTACAGCCCGTGGACAAACCCAGAAACTAGCACCTGGACCAAGGGATCAGGATGAAGAATGATAAAGGAAAATAGCAGCAGGAAGAACTGGCAAGGCAACTCTTGCAGGAGCGTTGCAAAGATTACAGTTTATTTATACAGCACATAGGTGTGCATTGTACTTTACAGACATATAAAACAGAACATGTCACTGCTCTGAAGAGCTTGTCAAAAGTGTAAACAATCCAGATCATTAGACTTACGACATCAACCTAAACCAGAATTGGAAAAAAAGTGGAATCAGTAATCCTGCTAGTCATAATATAGCTACCAGAAGTAATTCAATTACAGAAACCAGGGTATCAAAAGATCTCAACCAAGGCCGCTGTAATTAACCCTCCCAAGAAGCTGAGTTTTATTCACCTTCAATTTAGTACTACCAAAGTAACTGGATTGTTCATGAAACTATATATGGGATATAAACGCTTTCACCTATATGGCACTTGCTTTAGTCCAGCTCTGGCTGATACAGATAGTGAGTAAAAGTGTTACTGGCTAGATCATAATTTAGCAGTCTCAGTCCAAATCCAAGTGTGTCTCACACAAACACAGACACATCCAAGTGGAAGAGCATCCACGTGTGTGTGTGTGAGACACACACACACACACCCCTCTTTAATTGGCAACCTTGTTTTCTCAGCAGATAAACCAAGAAATGAATGAGCCAAGAAGGGACAGCTTTTAATTAGGATTAATTAATTCTTTCAGATTAGGATTCAAGCACATTGGTGGGGCAATGACTGTGCTGTACGTGGTCTGTGGATAACCATGAGAATCTTCAGGCATGTCCGATAAACTCTTTTCACAGGCGCCAAATTTGTGCCTCAGAGGCACTTTGAAATGGTGTTTAATGAATTAAGGTTTGTGAAGCACTTTGAGATCCCGCAGTAAAAGGAGCAGAGTACTTTCAAATTAGACAGTGTTTCTGTCAATATAGTGCTTTTAAAGGCTCTTGCCTTCATCATCACTGAAGTATTTACTGCAACTTTTATTCACAAGTTCCACTGCCTCATCTGTTTTTCCTGTTTCCCAAGTTTCTATACTTTAAGACCAGAAATTAGTGCAAATAAACAGAATGCAGATAGTTAAGAGCTAAATGGTGTTTTGTTTTGTTTCTTTTACAAAAGTTGAATTTAAAGATTTCTATCTGTGCTCCCCACCCAGATTTGCTTAAATATTATTTTTAACATGTGAGTGAGATATAAATAATTTCCTTACCTCTCAGATAACTTCTCGTGAGTCTAAGTTCTCCAGTTGGAACCAGATTTATTTCCCTGTTTCCTCTCTGAACCAAGATAGGACAAAAAAATTACTTTCAATCCCAAATTCCACATTTTGCAGCACACATCAAGGTCCAGCCTCACTCCTCGGTTCTGTCACTGAAATTAAGAATCCAGGCTTCCCTTTCCTTTGTTTCCTATGAATTGCAGCCTGTTAGCGCCCTCTGACAAATCAAAGAATTGCTTTTCCAGGTGATATGAATAGCTGTTAACCATTTCCTGCCTGTGCTGGCTAGACTCCTCCCCAATTTTCGGTTCACTGCAGTTTAAGCAGCAAGACCTTAAAACATAAGGAGTGCTTCAGGAAGAAGCCTGTAAATCTTGATGCACACATATGTAAAAACTGATCAGAGACACTGGTAGAGTGTCACAACCCTCTTAAAGATATTTGATCGTATTATTTTGACAGTATCCCCAGTCACAAAGAGTAGCTTTACCTCAAAGCAGCCAACCACCTTAAAAAAAGGAGATTGTGCTGTGTACTCTTCTTAGGTAAACACCACCCTGCCTCTTGCTACTTCCTGCTGTGGTGACATGTGATGAGATGATAAAATCTAAAGAGAGTAGGACACTGAAATAGGCAATGGCCAATATAA